TGACGGTGTTATCAAGCTTGACCCCTTTGAGATGTCTGAACATGAAGAGAGACCTCTCCCTTGCTTTTGTTACCATTTGCTGCTTCACAGATTTCATCAGTGCACGTCCCGTTACATTTTGAAACCATCTTTCCTTGTTAAACCAAAATATCTAGTGTTTGTCTTTAAGTAAACAAAGTTTAGACACAAGAACAATTTTGATGGTCCGTTTCCACAATATTCAACCCCATCGTAGTCTTTCTGCAAATAGGATCCATCATATAGCCATAAACCTGAGATCAAGTGTGTGAAGCTTTGCTTTTATATACAAGGAGTTCCCACGATTTGTTTTATCGCTCCGATAAGTAAACCTGAGGCTATCCTGCGAATTTGATGGTCTGCTTCCAAGATATTCGACCCCATCGTAGTCTATCTGCAAATAGGATCAATCCTATAGCCATAAACCTGAGATCAAGTGTGTGAAGCTTTGCTTTTAGATACAAGGAGTTCCCACATCAGCGAATTTGTTTTATCGCTCCGATGAGTAAACCTGAGGCTATCCTGGGAATGGATTGAATCTATTCCTTCGAAACCATGGTATGTTATCCTAAATCCAGAACAATTGAATTGCAGAGGAATGGCTAGAAATTTGGAGGAATGGTGACGGAGAAATGCTGAAGGCATGCTGCAGTTTGATAGTTGTTGGTTCTAAACTAATACTGGTTTGTTTGTTGTTGTAGCCAGTTACAACAATGGTTCCATTCTAAATTATTCATTAGTTTTTGTAGCCAGTTACAACAATGATTCCATTCTAAATTACTCACAACGAATAATTTAGAAGCAAATAAAAAGTTCATAGCTGCAAATATGTGATATCAAGAACACCACTTATGTATATAATTATTTATGTGGTGATAAAAATCAGCAAGCCACCTGCAGGTATATAATTTAGAATTATAAAACAAACAGTGGCAACAATAAGGCAAATTACAGACAATATTCTTGATACTATAGTATGTATATAATTTTTTGTGAATAGAAATCATAACCAGTTCTATACCTGACTATTTTCTTATTGAACCTCCTATTTTTTGAAAAACTAGGTTTTATGCGCGTGCAATGCACGTGGTTAAATACCATAATTTAGTATATTTGGTTTATTTCCTAAATAAAATTTGTTTCTCAGTTCCACTTTGATGGTTTTTGCTTATTTATGTCGCTAAACTTTAGCACTGTGATTATTTATTTTATTTAATGTTCGTTTAAATAAGCTACATCCAATTTAAATTTTCATGTTGGTAATTAAATTAATAGAAAACAAATGTAAATTGAAGCCAAATTGAATTATCATGTTATTTGGTCAGACATGAAACCAAGCTTGAACTGATAAAGTATAATGTTATAAAAGTGTAAAACACTTCAAAATGGTGTTATAAAAGGAAGATGAATAAATTAAAGCTAATAAAATAAGATGATTGGTTAAAACACTTCAAAATGGTGTTATAAAAGGAAGATGAATAAATTAAAGCTAATAAAATAAGATGATTGGTTAAAAGTCGGCTAAAACAACACAAAAGAGGAAGATGAATAAATTAAAGCTAATAAAATAAGATGATTGGTTAAAAGTCGGCTAAAACAACACAAAAGATAATATAGAGCTTGTCCTTAATCCCCGATAGACTTTAAAAAATCATAAACTAATGATTGGTTTAAAAGAAGTATTATTTGATTAATATTCAAAACTATGGAATAATATTCACACTTTTTGAATTTTGCTATTGTGAGAGCAACATGTTAGGGCTTATATTCAAAATTGTTGGCTCTATAAAAAACACAAGAATTTGGAGTGCATAGCTTATATATCGTTAAGAACATATCGATCTATGAAGAATTTTTTCTAATAATGATATTATTACAAT